CCAAATTCAATCTACTAGCATTTTTGTAATGCTTTTGTGTATAGACAAATGATTCTAACCAAAAATCCCAACTACAAACGTGAAACTTTATTTCGTGAAGTGAACAATGAATAGAAAAAGTATAAAAAAAAAAAACATTTAAGAGATTATAAATAACTTTTTTAATACACCAGTCCCATTACAAGGATTTCCAATTTTATATACAAGAAATTCTTCAATACAATTAATTAATTTACAAGCAAATACAACACAAACAATTCTATTACTAATCCAAGAACCAACTGAGTTACCTCGTGCAAATGCCATTGTCTAAAAAACAATTTATGATCAAATAAAAGAATTAGAAAAAAATATTTAGAATTTACATCTTTTTACAGTACCACTAATAATTTTCAGCTTCGTTGTGACCTTCATGAACATATCAAAAATTTAAAAAATGATATTAAAAAAAGTAAATTAGAAGATCTCAAACAGAATGCAAATTATCAACAGAAGTATAGATTAAAAAAAAAAAAGGCTCTTAACAGAAGAGAATGAAGTAGTCATATATGATCATGCTGGCTGTTTACTATTCTTTTTGAGTATCCTAATCTCCTTGAATACATTCATAACTTGATCAAATTTGGCGTGGCTGATGCTAAAAGAAGAAAGGAAGCTATTAAAGTGCGATCAGTATCACATTTAAGAGAAGAGCTAGAAAATAATTATAATGAATATTTATCAATAACTACACTTCATCACTATATGTTACCAAAGAATAGAAATTCAATTACAGCCAGAGTACACTACTATTCCATGATGGTTGGAATAGCTAATGTCTCTCAAAGTAAAAAAAAGAATATATCAATACTCATTATTGCTTAGCTTTGGTAAAAGCATCTAAATCATTTGCAAACACCTTCTCTAATATAACAGTCATGATATCCCAAGATGATAAGGCCAAAGTTAATATTGGCATACTGGCTGTAGAGCACATATTTCAAACAATACAATTGCTTGCTAAACCCGTAGAAGTAGAAGATTATGACTTTCCAATAGGAGTCTTTTAAAAATTAGTTTCAAGTGTATATTTGATAATCAATTCAGCTGATTCGAATAATACAATGAGAGCAGGGCAGCTT